ACGGTGCCAATAACCACTAAAATCTCACAAATATTAACATATTGTAACTCAGAAAAGAAAATCACATCCTCTTCCAACTATTGTTTATGTAGCTTATCTTTTTCAAAATAAAGTAAAAAGACTAAAGAATAATTTACATGATAGAACAATACACTGAGAAACATACAGAGATACAAATTAATCTTCATATAGTGTTTCAATACTCACACAAAAGAATATGGTATTAGATGTTATTAATACTGCACAAAAGAAATTAACCCTGAAAAAACTGAAGAATAATGTCATATATAATTTCTCCCTGCATAGCTTTCTCCTTCCGATAATGTTGTTCTCCACCTGAAAGCTGCAAAGGCTGCCAAGCATGAGGATGTTACACCAGATGAAAATGTGTCTGTTTTTGACATTTGGCAGCATCAGTTTTTAGGATTCTTTCCTTGTTTCTTAGGCTTTATCCGAATTTGGCAAATCATTAAGTCAGTGTTTACCATGAAAAGTGCTATCTGAATAGTGCTGGTAAATAGGAAGGAGGTAGGAAGAGGAGGCTGATAGTTCGGTTTGCAGACAGCCCTTTGTGGCAGCTGTTCCTATCTGCTGCATAGGAGCTATAATCCTTTGCGTTTACAGGCACAGTCCACCTCATGGAGTTGAGCAAAAAAAATATTATTTTGTGAGATGTTCTGTGTTTTTACGGATGCAAAGGTATGCGTCTGCGTATTTTTGGGGTTTTTATAATGGAGTGCTTAATCTTAAGTTTAGATCTTTTCCAGGAAAGCTGTAGTCCCAATTTGACAAGCATCTTCTGGATGTCTTAATTATTTTGACGTCCGTAAGGCTGAAGGCTTTGGGAATTTAGCACAGCTGTTCTGAGTTCCTTTCCTACCCTGGACAGTGTTCCTTCTGTTTACCATGTGAATGGTGAATAGATGGATCTAGAAACAGGAGGTACAGTAGGAGCTACTACAATTTGTCTGACCTGGACGGAGGCTCTATTTTTTGTGCACCTCTGCAAACAGAGGCATAAACCATGAAATAACAAATTAAGGAACACAGGAACCAGAACAATGCATGTAAGTTAGCGAAGGAATGAAGAGAATCCAGCAACCAGTAACTGCAGAGGAGGAGTATATTTGCAAAACAGAACAAAGAATGGAATAATCAACTGATTTGGGAGCAGGTGTAGATGGAAGGAACTGGAATGGAGCTGGGGGAAAGGAGACTAGCACCAGGGGTCAACATAGAGTAAACAAGAAATACATAAGAACGCAAATATAACTGGAAAACAACTAGAAACACACAAATTGGAAATTAAACCAATTACCTGGAAAACACAGAATGACATAAAACAAAGTGTAACTGAAAACTCAAAAAGACAACTTAACCAGAACCAAAAAGCCCAGAACGGGCAGAATCATGACAAGAACTTGTTTCTACTGCTCTTGAGTCCATTGACTGTGCAGAGCTCCTGAATGCAATCCAACTTTTCAAGAAGTAGTCTGGATGCAAAGGTATTGGATAATATTATATAATATTATATTGTATTTTCATCTTTCTTTTTATTTATTTTTGTGTATTTTCTGTAAAGTGACCTTGAATGTCCAGAAAGGCACTGTTAAATAAAATGTATTATTATTATTATTATTATTAATATACACCTTTTACCTCTTAAGTGGTTAGAAAACCTGGATTTATTCATTTAAAAGGGTGGCTGAACAGGTTTGGAAATACACTCTTGCGCGAGACAATGTAGTTATGTTTTTATGACAGGAGATGGCAGCAAAAACTCTGCCTGTTCTGCTGTTATTTTATTTAGTCAGTATTTTTTATTAGTACTTATATCTACATGAAGAAAAACTGTAATTGATCTAAATGAAGCCTTGCTTATGGAAACTTACTGAATAAGATCCCAGTCCCTTTTTACACTTCTGTTAAACAGTTGATATTAGCTTAAACAAAATATGATTGCATCTTGCTTTTCTTTCTATGCGTAGTAAGACTACAGGAGTTATATTTTCATTCATCCACAAGTAAAACATTTAAAATAAAATAGTGTGGAATAAAGGCATTTCAAGATATTGTGAAAATCTCAGTTTTATTTCTTCAATGAAATTAAAGACAAAACTTTGACAATTGTTTTTGGTCAGTTGAAGACATTTATCAGCATCAAGGTTAACACAGTGTTCATTAAGACAGAAAGTACCATATCAAAACTGCTTCAAATACGTGATTGTGGTCAGAAGGTTACATATATGAGCAATTTGCATCACTGCTAGATTACTTTGGGGGTTTTAGTGATTTATTTAGACAGTTTTTTTCTTTCCCTCAAATAAAAGAAACAATTGGGTTCATTGATAAGAACTTTTTGTAAATTTTCTTTTATTTAGGCATAATCCAATTGAAACACACAGGCCCAAATATAAAGACAACTCCCCCTAATATTTGGTGAAATGTATTTTAGCATCCCTCTGACTCTATATGACCGCTGCTTGGGCAAAACAAACCAGATTTATCCTGTCTGGACCAGTCTTAATATGAGGTAAAGCTAAGGAAACTAGAACCTTTCTTCATTATTTCATCCACTTGCTGCAATGAACCACTAACACTGACAACAAGGAAGTACTGCAGCTCTACGCTGCTACCATGCAGGACTATTCAGTATCTTATCCTCTGGTCTTGGTTCTTGTCATTGTGCCCAATACTGCAACCTTCACCAGGAGGCATCCTTCGATGCCTTTGAGCTTGAAGGTACCAAACCAACTCAGTTTGAGTCTTTTCGAATCCAAAGCATCTTAAACTATCATCTTTAAATCAATGTTGGATTTAAAATTAGTTCCTCAGCTGGTGTAAGTGTACAGTTCTCTTTATATCTTAATTTAGTTCCCTAGACTTACTGAAAAAAATCTTTTTTATCCTTTAAACAGAAAATTACATAGGAACCTGCTGTGAAACTTAATTTTTCCAGTTAAAGAAATTTCAGCAGCACTCATTAAAACATGTAGGGTAATGTAGGAATATATTTGAGTCTTTGTGTTTCCCGAAATGGACATAAGAAAAATACTTCTAATATTTAAAATTTAATTTAGTTTTTTATGAATAACATTTCAACCATAGAAAAAGACACTGACATTGCAAAACCTGTTGATTGTTTGTGGATCTCTGACTGGAAGTGGATATTTTCCTCTTAAAAGGACTACATGAAAATACTCAGGGGTACAAGTTAATCTGAAGACAGGAAACAAATCAAATGTTCACAAAGACAAAGGACACATTCACCTGGGTAGTAACAGAACACAGGCAGAGGAGAGACGTGCTTAGATATGTCTGCTATGAAAACTTAAAAAAACCTAGGAGTAAAGATACCCTAAGAATTCTATACAATCTATAAACTGTAAATGTGTTTCTGGTTGTGATAAAATGTAATATTTTATTAAAGATATCTATGTTCATGGTAGTTTATTTTTTACTTACATCTAATCAGTTTTAACATCCCTCCTCACCAAAAAAAGAAAAAGAAATACAAAACAAACAAACAAAAAAACAACAACACACAAAGCATTTTTAAATAGTTGCAAATAAAGTATTCTATTTTATCTAAACGCTGGCAGAAAATATCAGAACCTCCACTGCCAAACTCAGACTAAAAATAAATGCTTTATGCAAGGTGGATGTCATATTATTAGGACAAATCTATCTTTATAATTTAAAGGCAGAATATTAGGAGGACATGAGCAGTGTCTCACAATTCAAACCCATTGAATATTCTAATTTTTTCCTTAGTTACACATAAATATTTCGTCATATTTTCATTAGGATTCATGTAACATAGCAGCACACAGTAGAGCATGATTGTAAAGTGGCTTGAAAAGTATATACAATAATTGAATAATATTTGGAGTTTATTGATCTCACACTAGAGAAATGTACCTCTGCATTTAACCCATCCCCATGGGGAGCAGTTGGCTGCCACTGTGCGGCGCCCGGGGAGTGGTGTGGCAGTTAACGCTCTTGCTCAGAGACCCAGACTGCAGGCTGTGGGGATCGGACCGGGTACTTACAACCGCCTCAGAGCACAAGAGCACTGCTCTAACCACTAGGCCCACACTCCCCTCATATGTCACAAACATTGTTTTTTGTTTTCCCAATAAAATCAAAATCATATTTTGTATATGGTGGTGGAAAAAAGCTGTGGCCTTTTATTTAACAGCAACAGGAAAATTTGTTGATGAGAAGATAGAGGGCGCTAAAACAAAGCAATCCTGGCTGCACCCAATACTAGTTTGAGGGAGAAGTTAACCTCACAGCTCCAAATTATAATGCCAGGGCTAGAATAAAAACAGTTTAGATCAAAACATTTTCATGTATTTAAATAGCCAAGTCAAAGTTAAGACTTGAGAGTGTTTGACAAACACTGGTGGTTTTCAGAACAATCAGAGAATTAAAAAATCAGTCTCTAGACATTGAAAGATGAAGCATTCTAAAATAGTTGCAGTTATAAATGCAGTCTTTATGTTTTCACTCAGGTAGCCCTAATTTAAATGTATTTCTCACATAACCAAAAATGCATATGTTAAAAAAGTTAATTTTTTTATGCTGCTCTGTCACGTAAATTTCTAGTAAATTTGCACAGGTCTGTGCTTGTAATGTGATTTAAAAAAGTACTCTGTATCAATCTGATTGAAAAAAAAAAATATTTGTCCTGAACCCCAAAAGTAAATAGAATATTCAGCTTTTTTCAGATTAAATGACTGATGATCATTCTGTAAACCATGTCAGACTGAATTGTTTTAGACTGTATATTCAATGACATGCCGTTCCCTGTGAAGAGTTGCCCTGAACTGCAAAAGTATTAGAAAAAAGCGGTTAAAAAAATTCATCACAGATTGTAATATCATTACTGTGGATTGTGGCTCCAGGGTGGTCAGAAGGATTGTAGTTTTGTTCTGTAGGAAAGTGACCTTCTTAAAATATGTGAAGGTGCTTCTGTCACATTTTAGTATTAGACATTAAAAACCTGAAATAGGGTTTCTCAGCAATCACTCAAATGCTTTAGTTTTTTTTTTAAACATTTTTTCCCCCTCATCATCTCCCTTTAAGGTACTATTGCTCATGAATCTTTCATAATTGTAAAATGCCATAAAAGATATTCAAAAAGGGAACCATGTTATTTCTCAGGCTTGCATAGCTGATTTCTTTTTGTTTTTAGGTGGCAAACTAACACAATAAATGCAACACAAACTCCTTTATGACCAATATGAGCCATCGTATGCAGACTGAAATCAGCAGCATGTGGACACTGATATGTATGCTGCCCACACACTGATGCAAATTGGCAGACTTTTCCGCTTCTTCCGGAGGAGGTATTTGATTGTCCAGGCAGTTGAGTGCCTGTGTGGGAATGTGTTGCGCTAAGATGGATGATAAATGAGCATCTAAAGCACGTGATTTGTCCGTCAGTTCATGTTGTCTCTGGTCCTGAAAATGTTTTGAATCACAGGAATTGTAGGATGCCTCTCTACGGTCCCCCGCAGTAGGAATAATCTGCTTTGTTGTGCATCACCAACTTGTTGTCCACAAAGTAGAAGCTGTCGGATTGTGTCTCATAAGGATGTTGGATCATCTCACGCACTAAATTAGAGAAAGACAGAAAAAACAAACAAACCCATAGAATTATCAGGGTTTTGTTGCAGTAAATGATTTCTCTCTGTGTGGGGTTTGTTGCCTTTTCTGGTGTTGTTGCACTTTGATATGAGCCTTTATATGAAACACTTACTGATTTCCTCGGAGAGCGTGGGGAACTCGTAAATGTGCTCACAGGTGTTCTTGCTGCTGGGCATGCAGAAGCCAAACTCAAAGTCGAAGCTCTTTAGCAGCTTGTCGCGGAAATAGTGTTTCTCGATCATGCGGAAGTTGTTGATGGGGGTATCTCCCACTGTGAACTCCACTCTGCAGCAACACAAGAATAGACTCACTGAATGCGTTGCTGCTTGATGCTTAGAAAGTGTTCAAGCTGGGCGTTTTTTGGTGTTCAGCTGGCAGCTGTTAACTGATAAAAAGGCTTTCCCCTCATAGTTTGTGTTCCCTTTGTTCTGGATAAACCTAAGACATCACTGCTAGATGCAAAATGCACAAATTACTGAACATATTTCCAAAAACTCCCACACTCCAAAAACATGACTGTTAGGTTGACTGAGGTCTTTAAACTGCTGTGAGTGTGTGTGCATGGTCATGTGTCTCTGTATTTCCTCATAATGGACTGGAGATCTGTCCAGGGTGCAGCCGCTTCTCTTGCTGGAGATATCATATTGCTGGAGATAGCCACCAGCCCCCTTTAACCCTGACAGATAATCATCAGAAGATGCATTGATGGATGGTTTTGTTATTTTTCTGACCTCAAACAGCAGCTAGCACTGCTACAGGAGATAATTACAGCTTTAATGTAAACAGGAAGTGCAGATATAGTTGCTGCTGACTGAGTATTTTTACCTCTGTCCCCCTCCCTAGCATTTCAGTTGGCATATTGAGTTTTTAAAAAACAGTATATTGTTTCATTCCATTTCTATTTTACTAAGGGCCACAAGAGGAAGCTCTACAGCCACAAAAGCCTTGTTTATTTATTGGATTATGAAGCACATACAATATCAAAGTAAGTGATCAAAGGGCATAAAAACAAAAAACAGAAAACCCTGGTTTAAAACCAGAGAAAAAAAATAGAATTCTGTTACAAAGAGCTAAAATATATTATCTTTCTAAGCAAATGCATCATTAATTTGCCTTAAAAAGGCTCTCTGATGGAACCAGATCTAAAGGAACAGCCCCGCTTCTAAGCTATTAGTCCCTGGAACAACTAAAAAAATCTGACCGGAGGACCTCAAGTACCTGCTACAAATACTTAAAAGTTTGGATAAATAGAAAAGTTCAAGTTCTGGAGGGGCTAATGGGGATTTATGCTCCAATGGGAGACACCACCATAGCGGGCATTGCATTAGTTGAGTCTTGAGATAATAATGCATTAATGACCTACTGCAGGTTAATAAGACAAAAGAAGCTGCTTAAAAATGGCGAAAGGACATATTGGAAAAAAAGCCTGTCTTGTCCACAGATATTTTTTTCATGATAAAATCCTTATCAAATATCAAATTTAAAGTCAAATTTTTAGATAAAAAAAAATCAAAGCACTGATTTCTGTAGTAGAGATACAACCAAATAAATTACATTAAGGCTTTTGTTTGTAGCCCTGGAAACCTTTATCATTTTTTGCTTTAATGCTGTGAGTTAATGTCCTGTTTGGGAAACACCGTGTGTTTACTACTATTGGGCCATATTTCTTTAGTGTAATAAAAAAAGCAGCAGTGATATATATATACATAACGGATAAATAACAGACTATATATAATTTAGCCTCAAACTACTAGTCTCTGCAATATATTTTTTTATGACACTGCAAAAAACAAACTATTAATTCAAGCACTGTGGGAGATCATTGTCAGGATTTGGTTGTGGTTCGTTGACCCAAATGCAGAGGCAAGGAGGCAGAGGTGATTTTCTTGTGGGTTTAAAGAAAGGTTAGAGAACACAGAGGAAATCCAAAAATCCAAACATAAAAAAACAAACAAAGTCCAAGCAAACCAGAAACCAGGAACCCAAAAATCAAACATATAAAAAAATTCAAAACAAACCAGAAACCCTGGAGACATCGGGGGGGATACTAACACCAGAAAGAAGGCTCAGAGAGACGGAGTTGGAGGAAGTTAGATGAGGAACCAGCACTAAAGAACTGCACAGAGAGAGTATTTATGGGAGACTGAAACAAAGAGAGGGCCAACAAGCAGATTGGGAGCAGGTGTGAACAGAGCAGAAACAAGGAAAGGAGGTAGGGAAAAAGGAGAACATAAGAGGGCAGCAGAGGACAACAAATAAGAACCTGAGAACTGAAAATAACCAGAAAACAAAACAAAATAAGAATGAAAGCACTAAAACTAGAAAACATAGTACAAAGTAAAACAGAATACACAAAAGGAAACATAACAGAACCAAGACTATAACAATCATTTTCAGTTTAATATGAGCTGTTCTCTATGTGAATTATCTGCTTCATTGTATTCAAAACCTTAATCAGTCACAGAGCAGGCAGGAAACGATGGACACCCTTTTTTTAACCTCTCTTGCTGTTGCAGGACTTCAATCAGACAAGTTGTTCTCACTGATCATCAACCTGTTGTTCCATTATTGGCCCCTGCAGGCCTCCTACATCTGCTCCTCTGTTACAGTAGCGGTCATCAAACACACACTCAATAGTTTGACTTACGTGGCTCCAACCTGCCGCAATTGAAGAAAAGCTGGGGTGAACTGGTATCTGACAAATCGGCCGGCGTTGGGGTCACATTGCTTTAAACCAGCTGAACAGCAAGAGGGGGAAAGAAAAACATTGAGGTAGGTTTCTTTGCATAACATTGGAAGTCTAGATCTAGAGGCCTGGGTCTGACCTGGTGTTGGAGGTTTGGTGATCTCAAAAAGGACCGTTCCTGTTTCCATGTCACGGATTTTAAACCGAGTGAAGTCAATCATGTGGACATTTTCCTCAGGAGAGCAAAGATAATCTAAAAAAAAAAAATTTATTCAGTAAACATTTTTTTTCCTGTGATTATGACAAGAGTTTTACATTTCATCTTTATCGTAATACCTTTCTCCATTTAAAGAAACAACACTTACAGAAGGGAACATCAGTGTAAATTTAAACTCAGTTAAGTAAAGTGAAACACACACAAATTGTTGACATACATCAGATTTATAATTAAATGTGGACATACACTAGGCCATTTGAATAAACTGAAATGCTTTTCTCTACCTAACTGTTGACAGAACATAAAGAACAGCTATATAAAGGAATTATTATCTAGTTTCTCACTACTGTGTGCTTATTGGTGTGGTGCTCCTGGTAGGTGAACATCTGCCCTAAATTCCAAAGTCTATTGCAGCCGCTGGGTAGTTTTTCTCCTTGGTTCTTCTATATTTATCAACATCAATATTAATATCAACCCTACCCAGTTTCCGTGTCTCAGCTGAGAGTATCCCCATAGCATCCTGCTGCCACCACCACACTTCACCATGGGTATGATATGTTCAGGGCAATGTTCAGAATTGGATTTATACGAACAGCTACAATTAGGTCTTCTCTAACGATAGTAGATTTTTCCACATGTTTGCTGTTCCTGATTTTGCTTGGGTCAGACTATTAAACAGGATTTTTTTTAGATGCTGTAAAGGTTAAATCAGTGGGTTCCTGCTGACAGATTATACAGACATCGGCCAGGATTGTCTAGAGGAGTCGGGGGAGCTTACCACTCTCCTCTTGGCTGCTTCCTCTCTAAATAACACTTTCTTTGCCAGGTAGAGCAAGTTGATAGACACGTCTTTTTTAGTCAGCAGTTTTTTGCTCTTTCAGTCTTAGGGCGATTTTGAGCTTTTTTTAACCTATCCCTTTTCCCAATCTAATTCTTTCTGATTTGTCTGGTGTTTTTCTTGATCTTTATGATGCTGTTGATTATTTAATGTCCCCTAAAAATCCCAGAATTATGTCAAAAACTATTCTTACTCTTGTCAATGGCAATGACAAATGGAAGAAAACTCAGCTTCTGTTTTAATGATATAGTTAGTGATGAGGTTCAAGTTTGCAATATTACAAGGTCTCCTTGCCATTACTCTAATTTTTATCAGCACTCAAACACATTTGCTATTATTTAAGTTGTGACTCTGCCTTGGCTGTTCCAAATCTTTAATACTACTTCAAGTCAGGGGAATAATTTCAAAAATCTGAAAAGCCATCAATCATTTTACTTCTTCTTCGCAATTGTGTGCTTCTGGTATCAGAGTGTGAACCGTTTTCCTGATTTCATCATAAAACTGAATACTGTTGGTACCAGAGCAAGCATATTTTGCAGGTCCTCTCTTATTTTGGTAAAGGTTAGATTTAGAAATAAGGTATGAATTGTGTTTAGGTTAAGGTTTGGTATGTACTGGTAATTGTTAGGGTTATTGTCAGGGTTTAGGACATAGAAATGGTTAAAATAGCACTGAAAATCAATGTAACTCAATGGAAATCCGCACATTCACCTCTCTACATATTTCTGTATTTCTATTTGATTAGTTACTCTGTGTGGACACTGTTAGGTCAATTTCCAAGGAATGTGCTACTTTGTAGGGACTTCAAGTACTTGTGGGTCATCTGGTCTCCATGATAAGAAATTCACTTGTTGAGTCGAGGGTTCTGTTTAGGACTGATCTATGGATTTATTTTAGGTTAAATCTAGGGTTAGATATATGGTTAATGGGTAGGGTTAGGGTCTGTGTTAGTCTATGGAAATGAAAGAAGTCAATGCAAAGTCTCCGTAAGAATAGCAGGAGTGTGTTTGTGTGGTCATGTGTGAGACGCTCCGTACCCAACGGGGCAGGATTAGACCTAAGAGGCTTATTGTGCTTTATCATCACATGGACCGACTGGTTTCAAAGCAATCACACACACTCAAACACACACTGTCTCTCTTAAAGACAGGAATGCTAACTATAGAAGTCTATGCAGCAGAACTGTTTGTAAGCAAAGCTTTTAGAGTTTACTGTAAACCAACATTAGAAGCATCTGTACCTTTATTCCCGGTAATAACTCACACATAAAGCTGTGCTTCAGCATCCTCTTGTGTTTCTAAGGGTTAAGGAGCAGATGGGCAGCTCAGGCTTTAGCCACCTGCTCAGAGATATTTATAAACCTTTTTCATAAAGTACAGTGTTTAGCAGCCAACACCTTGTCTGAAAATATCCTTCCTGTGAAACATGAGTATTTAGAGCCTGCTGTTTGCTTTAATGGGCAGCGTGGCTGAACACCGAACACTGAAAAATATTTACGAGCCGACAGGATGCACTTAGCATGAGTCTGAGGTGATTCACTGATTAAAGCTGGAGCTGTGCAAATCGCTTTAGCTTAAAAAATTAATAGAGCTAGTAGCTTAACTTAGTCATTCAGAAACAGAGTAATATTGTCCACTGGATGTACAGTATAATTTTCATCTTAAACAACTGCTGAACACCATAACTCCCTCCTTTGTGTATAAGTTTATAACTGATGCTGACATTTTTTTTCATGTTTTCAATTAACTTCACTATTTGCACCTCTTATATCTCTACACATTATGACTAAATGTACTTCCTCCTCAGTGAAAATTACAATATTTTAGGGTTTTCTGCTCCCCAAGCTGCGAAGTTACTCCCAAGCACACACACACACTGCAATTATATGTATATAAAACATAAATTAAACCAAATTACAATGCTGAATTTAAATAAAAGCATCTGTTTGGATAGGAATTCCTTCTACTGGTCACATAACTGAAAGTTCTTGTTTACTTTCAGATACTTTTGAGAAATAAAATCGGATTTTAAATGATGAGTGGGAGCACATTTTGATCATAATCATTGCCAAAAACCAACCAATCTTTTAAACCATTTAAGAATGGTTTATTTAACTGGCTTTTCACTTGGATATTTTCAGCAGATAAACCTTTATGATGGTCACTAATAGTATGATTCAGCAGCATTAAAGCAACATCCTAAGCCTCTCCAATGCTATAAATCAATACAATGCTAAATTCTAATTGCGCTGCATTATAACAGTCTTACAATCAGCATACCTTTTGCCTGAATTTTAAAACAATATGTCATTAAAGTTGGAAACCGCTCCTTTGTTAACCTTTTTTATACATTAGCTTTGCTGCACTCCTAAAACTCATTTACAAACTGGGCAGAGATAGGCAGGTGAGTGAAAAATGTTTTTTTTTTTTTTTTTGTTGCATGTGTAATGATTTCTATATAGATATCGTAAGAAACACACAATTTCAAGATAAAATGACGCATTACATACACAAAAGCATCTGTAACCACATAGAAGTCATTACTTATACATGAAAAAACAATATTGGTCTTTAGGGCAGATTAACACACCAGAGGAAGGACCACACAAGCTCTTCTACATAGAACAAAGAGAAGCTTGATATCTTATTTTCTATGTAATTAAATTACATCTGTGTTTGAAAAATTTAAATTTTGTTCTTTTAGAAAAATTCAAGGCTATTTCACATTATTTACACGTTATTTATTTAGTTTTTGCACTACAGGTTATTTATACACATTCTGATACAGTTGTAAACAGAAAGTATTTCGTTGCACTTAAGTATCACTAGATGATGCATAAAAAAATATGTCTGTAAACAGCCCTGCCAGAGATGTAATGAGATGGTAGGTATAAGAAGGGTGGATATCTAGACCCTCTCATAAAATTACATAACTAATCAACATTTATATGCTTTGCTAAAAGAAAATAATGTACCCAATCTATCACAAAGATCACTGCCATTCTATTAAAATGATGAAATTCATACGTTTTATTTTTCTACATTTGTATTATTATTTTTATTTTTTAGATACCAATTTAACTATCTATTTGCAACTCCAATGTTTATTAAAAACTTCTAACACATTTTAAATTAGGGAAAAGCTTATGAAGTTTTTTTATTAATCACTGTTGTAAGTGTAGTTCCTGCTTTATTTCTTATCTATTAAAGAAAATTACAATCACAATGAGAAAATGACAAAAGACTAGTTCTCTCTTTCCATGAAAAGCAAAAAAAAACAGTAAAAACTAGAAATTACTAATATATATGTCAAATTTGAGTTATATTCCTCTGAAATATATTATGAATTATGTCTCTTTTCATTTAATGTGAGAAAAGAAATTTTTTCAGATCGAAATAAACCTGCTGAAGATTAGATTTAAAAATGCAAGTTTAAAAATACGATGATTAAAAGGCTTATTCAACAACTACACCTACTTACAAAGGCTGAGAAGGAGTCCAGCCTTTTTTAGCTTTTTAGTACAGTCCATTTTGCCAAGCAGATCAATGATCCACTGATTGTTAAATGCTTCGTGATCAGAGCCTGATTATTCAAAAATCTGTCAGTACATTCTAAATTTGTCTCTCAACCATCTTTGCTTTCCCAGTTTTTTTTTTCAAATAGTTCACAGATATATTTTGTGAATCAGACATGGCAACCTGCTGGGGAATCCAGATGGACTGTTTGATCCGTCGGCACATTCAGTAAAGTCCCTGTCAAAGCGAACGCTGCAAGAGCTTCCACATCATTGTGTCCCTTCCACAGTCATACAGGCTCTGCAAATATCCCACTGATGTCACAGTCTGAGCTCACGCCGCAGCTTGACTACTAACAATGGCCTGTACTGGATGACTTTTAGATTTTAGCATAGACCAAAGCTGTTCTTTACAAAAAGTAGCACAGTTCCAGACAAAATACAACTATTAAATAATGACTGATTAAAAAAATATGTAATGATTAATATAGCCTGGTTTACCGACTGTTTTTCATCCAAAAAGAGATCTATACAGATTTAATGGGTTTGTAAAGTTTCAGGCTCTAAATTCCACACTGATGGTAGCAAACTACATTGTAACCACAGACCCACTGGGGTGCGCTGACAAAATGACAAACTGAGAGAAGTGAGGCTGCCTTACACAGGTACCACCGGGCCCTCTGA